GTTTGACAATGATGGAATCATGGCCCATCCAATGCACCAAAGACAAGCTCAGCTGGAACCACGACCGGCTTTGGATTTGACCCCCGACTGTGCAATTACTGGAAGCAAAAAGGAAATCAATAATAAGTCCGAGTGTGGTGCACTTGTGTTCTCATTTTGGAAGCGTCGGCAACTGCGTTTTTTGTAGTAAGGTTTAATATGTAAATGATACATTTACATAAATTCTGCTTACCTTACATCACAACGATACACCATATAATTTAATATATAATTATATGGATATCAATTTAACATTTGAAACTTCCACCACCAGTGTTGGATTAGTCTCAATCGATCCTGGTTTTGTGGAGAAATAAGTGGCTGCGCACAACTTCGGTTTTTCGTGATGGCCGTGGTTGGGAATTGCTTGAATTTTCTGAACCTGTTAGTGAATTGGAGGAACTTGAAGGTGCCATTTACGACCCGGAATCAGTTTTGGAGGTCTTGACATTGGCACATGCTCACTGTTCCTTCTGAAGATCTTGGCTTTCGCTTGATAGAAGGTGATCAGAGACCAGTTTTTGATGACGACATTCCTGAGGCCGAAATGCATGACGAAGGTGAGTCTCAACCTGTGCATGAAGCCCCTGCTGACCCTGCGGAGGCTGAACCCTTGGATGAGGACCGTGTCATTCCTTTCGAGGATGATTCTTCAGTGGCAATTGAAGGTGTTGTCTACACCCTCCGCCATCTCGGCCGAGGCAGGGATGCCTGCAGCAGCAGTTGAAACTGCAGGTGCAGATGCTTCGATTTCAACTCCATCGGGTGAAGGGACTGGAAATGGTGGCCAATCATCGAGCGCATTCTGGAATGATACAAGCTGAGGGTTTGTCTAGTGGACCTTCGAAACATGCAATTGAACATGATGACATTGGCGCAGAGGCGAAACGCTTGCATTTTTCTGGATATGGTGACAGCTTGCCTCATGGTGATGTGGTACCACAAACGCCTATTTCAGTGGCTGGTGATCTACTGGATGATACTCCAATTGAGAACATGATGAGCCCAGCAAAGGCCAGCAAACATGAGAGTTCTGGTAGTGTCAATCTTCTGGGTGCCATTCGCAACATCGAGCACCTAGACATCGAACCTGATGTCCCTCTTCACTGTGACAATGTTGATGCTTTGATTCAGCATGAATTGAACTTGGATGAGGACCCATATGGACGTTGGTGCATGTCTCAAAGAGCTCAGCTTCCCATACACAGCTTCCGCATGAGGAGCTACAGAAGCTTGATGCACTTGCAGACCAAGTTGAGGTCCAACCCCTTGTTGGACTCGAAGTCTTGAAAGATGACAACTTGCCTCTGGACTGCAAAACCCTGAGCACAAGGTTTGTTCGAACCTGGAGGGAGAAAAAAAATGACTCAGGAGAAGCGATCTGGCTTCGTCGCAGTAGGCTGGTTGCAAGAGAGTACGCTTGGCTGCAGCCGGACAGGGAATCACTCTTTTCCCCGGCAACTTCAAGCTTGGCAAGCAGAATTCTTCCAATCTGCTTTTTGGCCATGAGAGAACATCAAGACTGCATTATGGCATCAATTGACGTCAAGGACGCCTTTCTCACTGTGAAGCAAGAGGTGGACACTCGGGTGACGTGCACAGATGCAACTGGAAACTCTGTGCAATACAGCTTGGGCCGTGTCTTGCCTGGGCAAAGGGATGGAAGTTTGCTCTGGTACAGAGACTTGGCGAAGTTCGTCAAGGAGTGTTCACTGGAGATGACAGAGCTGGATGCATATCCCAGCATACTGAGAAGCAAAAACAGTGATTGCTTCCTGATGGTCCATGTGGATGACCTTCTCATTCTCGGCAGCCGAGATGCCGTGATGAAACAGCTTGTGCCTTCACTGCAGTCGAAGTATGCAATCTCAATTGAACTCATGTCAAAGCCCGGAGATGAAGTAACATTCTTGAAACGCACCCATGAGCTGTTGGAAGATGGCAGGATGGTGATTCGATCAGCTGTGCAAACTCTCGTGCCTTTCCAAGAGGCTCCAGAGTAAGAAGACCCCAGGTCACAGCGAGATGGAGATTCCCGACAAGTCTCCAGAGATCAGTTTCCATGATGCTTCAATGTACCGCACATGCGTGGGGATTCTTCTGTACTTGTCAGCTGACCTGCCACCACTTTCTCTTCGAAGCCAACTGAGAAATCCCTGATGGTGCTGAAGCACCTGGTTGGCTACATGGCAGCACACTCCGACCAGTGCATGTCTTTCAAATGGAAGGGTTTGCATGCTGGTGTTTTCAAACAGTATGAGAACGAGGAGCCGATGGTGGAAATTTTCAGCGATGCTGATTGTGCAGCAGACAGAGAAACAAGACGCTCTGTCTCAGGATCTGCAATCTACGTTGGTGGTTGTCTGGCTTACTCAAGCTCCAGGACGCAGAAAATCGTGTCACTTTCGAGCGCAGAGTCAGAACATATGCAGCTGCGTCGGCCACCATGGATGCGATCTTGATCACAACCATCTTTTCATGGCTTCTTCGATGTCAGTTCACGATGTGTTTATACTTGGATTCATCAGCTGCAAGAGGTGTTCTTTCTCGCAAAGGTGTAGGTCGCTTGAGACATTTGTCATGCAAAATTTTGTGGATGCAGGATTTAGTCATGCAAAAACGTTTGCTGGTGAGATCATTGATGGGAGCATTGAATCCTGCAGATGTTGCCACGAAGAGACTCAGCGCAGCAAGGCTCGAGTCGTTATGCTACTTTTTGGGTATTTGGAGAGGAAACAATCTTGAAGGAGCAAATGACCCAGGGAACATCTTCAGACATGTCACAAATCAAAGACAACAGGGCTACAGCCAGGCACAGATCAACCTTTTGATTAGCGCCTTGAGCGTGCTGACCCAGCTTCAAGGCTGTTCCGGTGCCATGGACGTGGTGACGCATGGAGGAAACTTCAACGTTTTGTTCTTGATCACATGGCTGCTTGGATTGGCTGGCTACATCTACCTGGCCATCCGCCCTGGGGAACCCTTTAAAGTTTTGATTTTGTGCCCACTGACACAGCTTCAAGCAACAGCGCTGGAGATGACCCTTGCGGCAACAGTTCCGAGGCTACAGAAACCTCATCTGATTGCCCAGCATGGTCTCAGGAGGGCATGATACATTGGCTGTACGATGTGAGAGAAGACTTGAGAAGGCAGTAAGGAACCAGGATCCTATGAAAACAAACCAATATCTGGCTCGACAGGGCATTTTGTCCGGCATGTTGGCCCTTTTTAAGTGGCCACAACTGAGACTCGAGAACAAGTTCAACGAGTCTTGGAGGATATCACTGACCTTTCAAGCGATGAAGATTCTCCCACAGTCAATACAGGTGGACACCAGGTTGCCATGAACTCGAGGCTTTCCACAGCTTTCGTGCATGGGGTAGCAACAATGAACTTGTGTGGTTGCGACATGGTGGACTCGAAGTCTTCTGGAGGTGACATGGTTTTTTTCACAACACTTGTGCTGACCTTGTGGACAATGGGGCTTGGGGGATACACGTTGTACTGGCTTCGCAGGCCAATCATGCCAGTGCATTTTCCTCCAACAATTCTTTCAGCCCAAGCAGAAACTGCAGAGCCCAAGGTGCACGAGGATCTTCAAGTCGAAGGCATGCTGTTAGTTGCCTTGAAAAGGATCAATGGAAGGCTGGAAAGAGCACAAAGGCGGGGCAACAATGGACAGAGTTTGAAGTACTTGCAGAGCAGGACTTGGTTGCTCAGCTGTGTAGCAGTGTAGCTCACTACACGGATTGCTCTCCTGCAGAGAGAAACCGGATGACACAGGTCATTGGAGATGTGAACAGCTTGAGCGATGATGATGAGTCCCCTCAGCATGGACTTGGAGAAGATGAGAAAAACCACACCCTGGTTGAGGCTGATAAGGCCTTCAAGGCCATGATGAGCCTCCTTGAGTACGACACTTTCGAGGAGGTGACAAAACTGGTGGGGCAACTGGGTGGAGCGTTGCGGGAGATCAAGCCGCAAAGCTCAGATGAAAGCATGCCGGAAGAAAACCAATCACAGAGAGCACGGAGGTACACTCAGTGCGGACAGTCGGAAGCTTCAGACCCAGATTACTGGGCAGATGTCAAGTATGGTCCGGCCGACAGAGAGGATGAGCCGGAACCACCCATGAATGACAGTGGACTGATGGAGTTCTGAGAAAATCTGAGAGAGCAAAAAGGGCACCACCTGAAGAGTGTCACCTGTTGGGTAGGATGCCTAGCAAGTGGCTCCAGTGCCAGTAGTTTGAAGCATCATTGGTTTCACCTTGAAAAGGCTCCAACAAAGGCGATACGAAGGTCAAACAACAGACCTGCGGAGTCGTAGCCATAGAGATATTTAGAAATATTCTAATATCAAGGCGGGGTGAAAGTCATTTCCGCATTTGCATGTCAGTCATGTAGTTGTGCACATGAGACAGCACAAATCGAATAGTGTACATCAGGATAAATTCTGAGGCGCTTTCGGTTCCAGAAAAATTCGCAAAAGGGCTCTTTTGGCATGTTTTCCAAGTCTCCCTACTGGACAACCCAAAGATTTCCCTAAAAACCACCCACAAAAATGTTTGCTGGCTTTCGGGCCCACAAAATTCTTTGTTGTGTGGTAACCATGCCGGCTCCGGAATCTGGGAATCATGATTGACAGAATACCCATGGAGAACGAAAGTCCCCATGCCAAAACCTTGGAAATCCTCTTTGTTTGACCTGGGTTCATTGATACCTTGATTTGCCCAGACACCCCAAGTAGCCCCCCCTAGCAATTCTATGATTGAATGATTAAAACCGACGCCCGCCTCAAGGCGGCGATCCCTTGTTTTTGAATGGAATTGACACATTTAATGTGTTCATATTTTAATGAATGTTTCATGTGCGTCTGAATTTGAATTGGCATGACTCGAACCAGTACTTTCATTGGGCGATGAACATGCCTGCGGATTGTTAGCCGTCCGTGGCATACTAGGATCATACGCGTGTGGGGTGCGAAACAATTATTTCAGTTTTTGCGACGCCACTTGACTGCAAAATTTGCGTTGTGTGGACAGACATTTTTTTTGCCGTCCTGGTATGGGTTGCAAACATGTTTGGCCACTGAGGGGATTTGGGTGAGGACATTGGCAGGTCTGAGCCTCAATGAAAACAAATATCATTTTGCGAATTCTTCACTGTATTTGGTCAAATATGTGTGTAAAATTACGATATAAGTCTATACCTGTTGTTGTTTTATCTCCATATTCCATATGCAATGGTTAAACTTGAGATGACTTGAGTAGTTGCATTGCCGTGCAATATATATATATACATATGTAACTATATAATATATATATATATACACATGTAATTAGATATATATATATATATATACATATGTAATTATAGATCTATATATATATATATACATACATATATAATTAAATATATATATATACACATGTAATTATATATATAGTCATAGTTATATATATATATATATATTTGGAAAGGTATATTTTGTCATCGTTACTTTACAATGTGTTTATTATGTCACAATCACAGTGTTCAGACAAACAATGTGACAGCACAACAATCACCAACATTTTGGTGATTGAGGTTTTCGTCATGATGCTCCTTCCAGTTCTACGACCAGTCTGCCTGACAAAGTGGTTTGGAATGGTTGATTCACATGGGGTTCAAAGGTTTGGCAGCTTCAAAGATCCAACAGAATTGTCTATTTCATGAAAAAAATCATTGAATGCCCAATTTCGTTCGTGAACGTATGGAACCCCACGAAGAAAACACACTTTGGCCCTGTGTTTTTTTTTTTCCCAGTGCCAGGTACAGAAATCCGCTTCGCGGTTGCTGTTGGCTGGGACCAATGCAGCCGTCGAACTCACAGATCATGGAGCTCCGCTTGAGGCAGGTTTTATTGCAATCCAAACACATGGAAGGTTGAAACTTGTTAAAACCCCACGAAAGTAGTAGTGTATTTAATTCTTTCGTTTTTTTTTTGGGGGGGTTGCTATGGCTATGGAATGCTATAAGATAATACCCTCAAAATGGATTAAGACAATCCAAGTAGACAGATGGTGTTCACTTCATAATTTACCGGTGTCCAATTTTTTTGGGGCATTCAATGTTGGGGTCTGTACAACCATTGGTCCAACCATATCCATTTGGAAAATCAGATATGGCTTGGATGATTTTCTGGGTTTGCCATGATGGGGTCCCACATGGCGTTTATGGCCTGGGACCCACCGAAAAAGTTGCGAAGAGATGTCAATGTGGTTAACCCTGGGTAACACTGGCCATAAACCATCCCCAAAATCAAAATTTTCAAAATGATTCATGGACTGTATAAACGATCCCCAAATGGTAGGTTTATGCCATTGGGTTTACCACACGATGCTTTATTGACAGCAGGGAAAGAAAATCGTAGACATTGCGGTTGCGCTCGTGGTGTAGCTGCCCTCGGAAGCCAGTATCATTGGTCCTTTTTCTGGTGTTGGTCATTTCAGGTTGTGTGCTAAGGTAAGATCTGTGGAACCAAACTGATTTCCCCACAGACCGTCTGATTTTGGTGGCTCAGCGGTGTCTGAAAAGTTGATACACGACCGAAATGTATGAATCATTCTAAATCATGTTTGCTTGTTCTCATAGCGACCATATACATACGCGTGATGCATGACCCTTGTGTAAACAGTACATGTTTCATATGCATATAGAATAGGTGCACACACACACACACGTACATATCTTTCATCTTCGCTGTCCGTTTGAGGACCTGACATGGTTCCCAACTTATGGCGGTGATGATCTCGGTTGTAGACACGTGTAACTTCTGGTGCTCAGAAACATTCAACCCCTTCCCAGTATGATTTCTATGGTGATCACAAGAAATCCCATTTTACCAACGAATTGCCGTTGTAATTCTCCAGAATTCAGGAGAAACATCTGCCCCTCCGATAGGTCCCGGCGCCCACCGCGACGCCGGCAGCATGGAATGGGCCGCGGACGCCCAGTGCGACGGAAGTTTTCCAGGGCCCAGTTTTTCCAGGGCTTTCTGGTCAGCTTTGGGGAAAAACACAGAGTTTGAGAGGTGAAAAAGACTTTCAAAACTGTGAAAACTTGGATTTTGAGCCAATTGCTGGGCGTAGATAAACCTGACTGCCAGGCGGTTTCAGCATATTTCAGCAGATTTGCTTTGTACATAAACCGCTTCCGAAACTGGAAGGATCCCAACATGGATGTTTGTCAGATCATGAACATGATCAGCCATCTGTGGGACCAGAACAGTACGCCATACCCATTTGTTGATCCTAGTACCTGGCAGTATTCTCAATGTTATATTGGCTACATCTCCATATTTTTGTGCCCATTTTTACTTTTTTGATGCTATTTTTTATGAATATATAATATAATATATTGATTATACCCCCATGTAGATTCATGGATTGTTTCTATCGGCTATAATAAAAAACGGCATTCCCCAAACGATTGTAAATTGGGTATATCATTCCCTACGATATATTCGAAATTTGAAATATCAAACATCTTGATTCATGGTTTATGCATCCCAATGAACCAAAACGTCCCAGTCATATCCAATTGGGTATAACAAATATCTAGCCATGTTTTGGTAATTGGTTTATCCAATTATCAACACTTACGCAAGCCCATGTGGAGGTGGTACCAAGCATTTTTGGAAAGTCATTGGGATCGTGTATGAAATCGGACCACATGAAATTCCCATTCATGGAATTTTTGACATTGTCCTATTTTTCCACTAAATCTCATTTCGAAGAAATCAGCGTTTGAAAGCAACGCCCCCGTAAAATTCATCATAGTCCAAGTCTAGTCCCATCCAAGTCTAGTCTAGTCCCATTTATTCCCATAGTAAAATCCATTTTTTTTTTTCCCAAGGAAAATCACATCCCAGCCGCATCACATCCACCCGCCGCATGCTGAGGATGCCTAGCGATCTGCGCCCGATGATGGCGCAGCCATTGACCTGGCAGGGACCGCAGGGACCCGCGAGGTGGCCAGTACCTTGGCGAAAACTTATTTGGGACCAAAAACCGCTATTTGGTCCAGATTTTTTAAGCATATTTCAGTTATTTAAGCCATAGAAAAGTGATGAAAAGTGGAGAAAGATAGAAATTTGTGGAGTTTAGAAAAGATAGGAATCGGTGGGAACTCCACCAGGTGGAGTTCAAGCCATGGAAAAGTTGCGAGCAAAAATCGGTCGGTGTTCATATTTCAGCCATAGAAAGCTGGCATTAAAAGCCTATAGGCCCTAACGACTTGATATATTTCAGCAGAAAGCTGCGATTGAAGCTTCGAAGCAACGCCGATCCAGCTTGGTTTCTTCAGCCCATCTTTGGTGATCCCAAGGTTTGACGGAAAGTGCAACGTGGAAAGGGGTGGAGAACACTGGAGAACCATTACGATCCATCAAAAACAAATCCAATTTATAGCTTAATTCAACTAATTCACCATTTCAACAACCATTAACTCTTCAGAAAAACATATCACATATCCGTAAGAGTCTACTAAATATCCATAAGAATCCATGAAATATCATGAAATATCCATCAGAGTCCATTCAGCATCCATTTTTTACATCTAACTCCAGGCAGTTGAGAACCTCTTGGCGCAGGGTGCGACCAGCGACTTGGCCGAAGCTGTGGAGATTTTTTCCGTAGCTGATGGGAGATCCCGACAGACAATTCACCCAGAAAAATGGCAATATACATTTGTATCAATGGAAGGCCTATGTAAGGGCTATGTAAGGGAATATCCACAGAAAATATGGCCTTATATGGTACAGTACCTCCATTTTAGGATCCTGAAATTCCCACTGATTGTACCCAGTCATGGTGTTTTCATGTTGATTTACCATGATTTACCATGTAAAGATGGGTATCATCCCATATTTTTCCCACGACAAATGGGCATTTAACGTAGTTTTACCATCATGAAATGGGGATATAATACAGGCAAATGTGACATCTGTTTCTACCAATTCATGAATAGATCCAATGTGAAACCACGGGTTCTAAGAGGCTACTGCATTTCATCTGATCGGGAATGGGATTACAAAGAATCGACAAGCCACCTGTTGGGTTATCCTGAATGGTAGATGAGAGGAGACAATCCACAGGAGATATCACGGATCATCACGTAGCATATTGGCAATATAAGCATCACTCACCCTTGACACATGACAAATCAAATGGGGATACAGCCAGCGATGCCAGGTGATACTCGAGAACAGAAGCAATCAGCACTATTGGGTTGTCATACATTGCAATGGCTACAATGTTCCCCCCTGGTAATCAAACATGACAATAGGAAATCGCCTTTAAATGGGCATTTTAATGGAAACATCATCGAAATAGGGGAAATTTCCCAGCAAACTATTTTTGATTAGCAGAGGGTAGTGGGTTTCTATTGTTGGTGGACTGCATTCGTTTGTGTCGTGTCGGTCCCTCATTGACTCGCCTTGACTCGCCTTCAAGCCTTCAAGCCGATGTTTCAACGCTTTCTGACCACAACAAGTGAGAGGATCTATTGAATAACGCCTTATTCCCCCCTTCTGAATCGACGACTACAGATCCATCAGATTCTGCCAGATGGCATCAGATGGCAGATGGCCAGATGTTGACTCAGGTGGTTCCGCCCCTAGCGCGCAGCATCCTGAAACGCAGGTGACTCGGCTGGGGGATATCACCAAAACGGGGATCGAAGCATCAACAGATGGGGATCGTTCAGCATAAATCCTAGGGACTGAAGCATCAAACATTAGATATGAACCAGCAACTTTGGGATATTCCGGAATATTGACCATCAAACAAGGGGTATCAACTGCGTTATCCCCGGACAGTTTCTTCACAACGAAGGTTGATAGACCTTCATGATTCGATATCATGATCCTGGTGTTTTTCGCTGGGAGTTCTCCCAAGATGCCAACGAAAATGGAATTCAATGGGGTGCTTCAGACAAGAGGGAATTTGATCAAGAATTGTCCATCCAAAGCCAGGAAATCCCAGAATTGTTGGTTGCTTGGGGCCCGAAGAATTCCTCGAACACTTCGAAATGATCGGCTCATATCGCCCATGTTGCTGGTATTTGTTGGTCATGTTTTATTCTGGAACTAAAGTTTTCTTTTTTTAAATGATTCTATGCCAGGCAATACATAATATATGTGCATATGTGTGTATATATGCATACTATATATGATATGACTAACATTTTTTTCCCCATTGTTGGATGGCTCGGTCTGATTCCCTGCGAGGAAGAGGGGGAGTCCCAAGTTCAGGTGCGAACGGGGGGATGAATTTCATCTCCCTGATGGAGTGGTGAACCAATGGGAGAACCATCCAAAATGGGGATTTAATATGATTAATGATGGTGTTACCAGCCTGAAATGGGGGCCAATGTAATTAATACTTCTTAAATCCTCCCCATGACTGGGCCCCCTCGTTTGGGGCTATTTCATACAGGGGGATTATAAATGTGTGTTTTGCCAAGAAAAGGGGTCTACTTCTCCTGGGGATACGACCAAAATCTCGTTCCGTAGCTGGTGGCCTAACCGCCAGGACGGCCAACTCTCAACAGAGATTCTTGGCTTGGCTTGGTGGTTTAGTCAGGGATTTGCCTCGATCACCGGACCGGGGGCTTGGCGATGGGAAAATATGGGCTTTTGATGGGAAAATGAACCACTGTTTATTGATCATATTTCATTGCATATTTGTAAGACATGAGTTCAATGATCAACATGATGAACCATTGTTTTTATTCCCCGAAATTTCTGGATTTATCCCATTCAAGAGGGTCCCATCGGCCATTTGTCAAACCGAGGACAGGTGCCCAGTGCATGTGGCAGTTCGATGCTCATGCTGTTTTCCCACCTGGCGCCTGCGTCACTTGGCTTGCCAAAGGGCCTTGCATTGCCAAAATGCCAAAAGAACTGGACAAAAATCGACCCGGGCAATGGAGGATTCCCCAAAAATAGATGCATATTTAGAGTTTTGGTGATGACTTTTCTAAAAACTGGGGATGTCTTCAGTCCGGGTCCCAAGGTGTGGCCAGCAATTCTCATGACTAGCGATGGCTGCCTCAGTGGAGCGGGCCTCAGCGAAAAACAACTGCCGATTGATGGCCAGAAACACTCCAAATCGCTAGCAAAATACCATGGTTTACCAAAATTTTCTGAAAACAATCCATTAAATGGTGATAAAAAACATCAGAATTGCTATGTCTGGCGCTGTAAATGGCTTAATGGAGATTATTGTAAGCTGCGAACTGGGAATCTGAAATGAGGAAAGCTGAACTGGGCACTGCTTCTATGGGAAGGGGGTTATTTTTTGTTTCTCGTATTTTTTTTTTGCATTTGAGGCAATTTTACCTAGTTTCGGGAGTTGCATCCAGTCATGATCTTATTGTTGTCTTATTTGATCTGATCTTTTTTACCTGTGTATCTATGAGTTGCAATTTAAAACCTGACACTTTTTCCGTGCCAAAGTGCAACGACAATTTTCTCCTCACCGTCTTTTGAATGGTGTTCGTTCAGCATTGTATGCAGACAGAGTGAAACAGACAAAGATACAGAGACAGACTGAAAATCAAACCCAGGTACTATATAATACAAATTAGCGGGATCGGGTCCACATTGGGCACCAATTTATGATGGATGGTTTAGTCACTCTAGTACTAAAGAACATGAGATTTGGAACATTTTGGGTCCATGCTCCTGACCGCCACATGGCTGCAGGTTTTCCTGTGGCTCAAATGCCACATTCAGATGTGACAGCACAGCCGCCAATTCAGCAGCCAGTGTGGGCCTGAACATCAGTGGAGAGACTTGCAGACTCTTGCGAACTGGCTTGGAATCATGGTTTTGGAAGTCGTTGGATATGAACTCTCCTATTGAAGAATTTGCACCTGATACTCAGGCGCTTAGGAGTGATGTCAAGGAGACCAAACAGGTAGAGGCGCGCGGCGCGGTACCGGTATCCCCGCAGCTGCGCGTCTGGTGCAGCTGGAAGTGTGGATTTGGGAGGGCTTGAAGTTTTTGGGAGCGACTGGCTCAATATACCATCAACTGAATCAACTGGTCTTGAGATGATGTTTCCCATTTTGAAACAGTTTGAAACTTTGAAACGGAATCTCACCCAGACACCCACAAGTTTCTCCAGTTGAAAATGAACCAGCAGAGCAAGGGATTGCATTTTTTTCCTAGGGGATTTTTGCGAGTACCCTTACTCTGAGGCCCCAAACGGGGTGAACAAATCCTGCAGCGATTTAACAAAACCATTGGTAAGCAGACATGGCTGGCGGGAAACCCAGCAGGCATGTAGAAAATGCCGATATTTTAATGTATGGAACTAGGATTAACTAGGGATGTCAAATTGCCAGGTTCAGTTTCCAGAGACAGAATGCCTATCTTTGTTGTTTTTGTTGATCAAACACCACTCGGTTTCGGGTTTAACTCCATTCTATATAGTTTCAACTCCATTTTCCTGCTAGTTCATTCCACATCCTCTTTGAGGTTTCACGTGGTTTTCAAGTCTGGCAGTTGTTCAGGCATCTTCAGGTGCTCCGTCCTCCCCCAGCACCTTGGATGCAGCACTTGGCTGTACCTGAAAATCCTGCGGATTGACCCAAGCAATTGATAAAGCTAGCTTTAAAACATGGGGAACATGAGCTTTCGAATCAACATTTTGGGTTTCCCATCATTTCCAGGTGCCAAAGCCGCAAGGCGAATTGGATGGAACTTAGTGGTACTTTTGGACCATGGTTTCCAAGCCGTTTCCCGGTGCCTTTCAGCCAGCCCAATACCAAGAACCTCCAAAAAGGGCCAGGGAATCCAGCTGCTGAACTGGACTTGTAGGACTTGGTGCTCAGACTGCTCAGAGAAAACCGACCTGGTATCATCATGGGGTGCTGCAGATAAATAGCCATCCATCTCTGCTGACTTTCCACCGAGTTTCCCAGGATCCCTTCGAACCTCGGCCAGCCGAAAGCAACGTCGCCGTTTGAAAGCTGCGATGGCGGCCGATGAGAAGAAACATGTCGCTGACGAAGCGTGCCTTGGACCCCTGGATGTTGAAAAAGGGTGCTTCACAAAAAGTCAGAAGCCGGAAAGCAAGCTAATTATGGCCCCGGAGTAGTACCGACGTGTCAGTTTCTGTTCGCAGTGCCGATTTTTCTAAGGCAGCTGAAAGGCCCTGCTCTGCCGGGTCTTGTTGCAGGACCCTCTGCGTCTCAGGCCTCGAAACTACGGGAAACTGCTCTGCGGAGAAAATCGGGTAGAATCCTAGAATCCCAATTATACTAACCCCCAGAAAAAGATGGAACAGGTTGAATGCATCACTTTTTGGTAGGATTTGACTTTTCTGCATAAATATTTTGGGGTTTTCTATGGGCTTTTGATTAAAAAAGAATGACGCTGCTTACCATCCCTTGCCAAGGCGCAGCTTTCATTGCCAGTAAGCCCTGGCCCCCTTGAGTCCAAGGCGCGACTGAGTTTTTTCCCTTTTTTTTTCGCCTCCCAAAAAGTCTGTAAAAAAGAGCAACCAATGACTTTGTACCGACTTTTCATACTTTCATCGTTTGGTTTTAGTGTTTTTAGATGTTTTTAGTGTCTTTGCCGTCTGAAACTTCTTTTTGCCTTCGGAACTGGATCCCTCGGCGCATCTGGCGATGTCAGGAGCCGTCGGAGCCCATCCAGCTGTGGCCTCCGACGCCCGAATCCACACCTGCATGTAGTCCCAGAGAATGGCCGAGCAACGTCGCAATGGCGCCACAGCCCTTCGCCTTCCCAGGTTGGCTAGGGTAGGCTTCACCATGACCAAACAGATGCTTGTTGCGCACATATCCTTGCAATATATTTGTTGATAAAAGGAAGGCGGTCATGACCACTAAACAATCAATAGATAAATGATTAAATGATGACAAATTGCATACAAAACCAACCCCTTCTGTTCTTTTCAAAAGGACAATATTGGTAGTGATTCAACTGGGACAGCCATCAGCACCCCTCCACAGGAGTGTGGCAGATAGAGATGCCCAACGTGGCAGTGGAACAAAGCCTTCCTCTCTCTGAGTTGCAAGTAGAGGAGCTGTCATGAGTCAACGAACTTGGTGCCGTGGATGTTACTATATAACTATGTATATATATATATGGTCCCGTGTCTCGTGTTCACCCCCCCTAATATTGAATGTATGGTATGGGGGTTACCACCCCCCCAAGAACCACTTTTTAGATAGCACGATTTACTGTAAGTTGCCGGGAATTCCATTTGGAATAATGTTAAAAAAAGGTAGTTGTTGGGGGGCTTATATATACACATACATATATATTTATATATATGTGTGCGTGTGTGTACATACTATGCATACGCATGCTCCAATATATACATATACATATGTGTCAGGTACGTTGCATCCAAAATAGACATGGTATGAAATCGTCACCATTTTAGTGTGACACTTACCCGTCCTCAGGGACAGCGGTGCATTGTTTCATCTCTTGGGGTTCTACTCATAGCGGAGTTTGGCCACTAGGGCCACTAGGGTCATGACACTATGAATCAACCAGTCTGAAGAATTTGCCCTGCGTTTCTGGCCCCACTGGAATGAGAATTCCATGTCGAATTTGGAATTTAATGTTTCTACTTTCACTGTGAATCTGGGATGGTGCTTGACTTTATCACTTTTTGGTGGTGTATCTCGTGACTCAAGAGGCACAAAACTGGATGCACCAAATGTTCGATACTTGTGGGATCCTGACGGTCCTGAGTCCGACATCTTGCATTTTGACCCGCCGGAGGTTCACCCTGGTGACACTGGTGACCCCAATCACAACCCTCCAATTTTCGATTCGCAGGAAGTTCCAGATGAAGAGTTGCAGGAATGTGAGCGAATGATCTCGCAACTGGAATCATCTGCCAAGTCTGAGGTTCCCCACAGTGTCGTGAAGTCGTGGTCTGAAGGTGGTAGACATCACAGTTTTTTTGGGCAAATTTGAGGATCTGAATAAATAGACCTCTGCATTTTTCTTGTCCAAAGCTACTTTGGGCCTTCAATTGTTCAAATTTCGGGTCTGTCCGAGTCTGTATTATTTAATCTTATTTTACATCATTCCCCACCTGCCAGGTGAGGGTTGTTAGATTTTATGTCAGTTGCCTCCTCCTTCTCCTCCTCCTTCTCCTCCTCCTCCTCGTCCTCCGCCTCCTCCTGCCTCGTCCTCCTCTCCTCCTCCTCCTCTCGTTGTCCTCCTCGTCCTCCTGCTCAACTGCGACTCGCGATCCACAGTGTTCGCTGTCGGACCTCAACCACGACCATCCACGCCCAGTGTTCCCTGCCGGACCTCAACCACGACCATCCACGCCCAGTGTTCCCTGCCGGACCTCAACCACGACCATCCACGCCCAGTGTTCCCTGCCGGACCTCAACCACGACCATCCACGCCCAGTGTTCCCTGCCGGACCTCAACCACGACCATCCGCGCCCAGTGTTCCCTGCCGGACCTCAACCGCGAGTATCCATGCCAAGTGTTCCCTGCCGGACCTCATGTAGGAATGTCAGATAGACTGCCAGATAGAATGCCAGATAGAATGTCAGATAGGATGCCAGATAGAATGCCAGATAGAATGCCAGAAAGAATGCCAGAAAGAATGCCAGATAGAATGCCAGATAGAATGTCAGATAGGATGCCAGATAGAATGCCAGATAGAATGCCAGAAAGAATGCCAGAAAGAATGCCAGATAGACTGCCAGATAGAATGTCAGATAGAATGTCAGATATAATGCCAGATAGAATGCCAACATATATGCCAGAATGTATGTCAGATAGAATGCCAAAATATATGTCAGATATAATGCCAGATAGAATGCCAGAATATATGCCAGAATATATGTCAGATAGAATGCCAGAATATATGTCAGATATAATGCCAGATAGAATGCCAACATATATGCCAGAATATATGTCAGATAGAATGCCAAAATATATGTCAGATATAATGCCAGATAGAATGCCAGAATATATGCCAGAATATATGTCAGATAGAATGCCAGAATATATGTCAGAATAAATGACAGGTAGAATGCCAGAATATATGTCAGATGAAATGTCAGAAAATATGTCAGATAGAATGCCAGATAGACTGCCAGATAGAATGCCAGGTGGAATGTCAGGATATATGCCAGATAGAATGCCAGAATATATGCCAGAATATATGTCAGATAGGATGTCAACTAAATATATGTCCAAATATACGTCCTGACATGTCATGGTGGGGATCACACGAAGTAGAGTAATTTTTGGAATTCCTTTGCATTTATCATCATTTTTATTGCTTCAACTTCCATTACGTTTTGTTTCAAAAATGGGCTGGATGTGCAAGACTGCAATTTTCATTTGTGCCACAGTCGAAAGTTGGGTTATAACATCCATATGGGGACAATTAATGGGAATTTATCATGGCCAATTTTGAGGATTCCCAATTTCATGGTGGAGCTTAATTAAGGTCAACCCTGGAAGAAAAAAAAGCCTGACGATGAATTGATTGGGTTACGTCCAAAATAGTGATTCATAGTCATTCATTACTTTAATAATAGTGACTTAATAATAGCCCCCAGCTATATTATTAAAGTTGGTATCACCGTATTAATAAACTGGGGGCCGGGCAATCCCAGGTTAGCATTACCCCAGGACTGTCCTAGCTTGATGGCAGGTCTTGGAGATGCTACGGACTTCAACATGGACCATGTCTTGCACGGCTGGTGGCACACGAGTAGTCCAAAAAGCACTGGAAGTGGCGGTTTCCCGGATCAAATGGCCGGAACATGATGGAACACACACATATATATATATATATATTCAGTGGATTGGCTGAACATCTACAGGAAACCAAGGTTTCTGCTGAAATATAGGGGTCTCCTGCGGATTTTCCCTTCCAGTTCAGGGATGAACGTGGTGAAATCGAACAGCCATGGGGGGTTCGGGTGGGGGGGATGGGATGGGGACCATTTTGGGACCATGATATACTGAAAGTGTGCTGTTGGAGTGGAGGACATTTTCCGCAGTGTGGATATTACTGGGGAGATGGAAAGCCCTCGTGGATACAAGGGGTACAAGACCAACAAAACTGGTAGGGGAGGGTCAAAATGATGTCTGCAACCAGGGTCAGGACTGCAATCCTGAGTTGCGATGATCAGATACCTAGATTTCGCACCTGGATGATTCAAGTTTTCCGAATTGGTGGATTTTGCTCTGGGGAGTAAGTCGAGTAAGTTTGCAGGCGTAGCAGTGCTTTCCCGGGCTTTCCCTTTGTGTCTACAGTAGCAGTATATTTTTTTCTTTGGAACCGCAGCATTGCGTTGTAGGATACACCGCAGCGATGCTTGACAGCAATCAGCGATGCGTACGACGTGCGACGTACGACATGACCATAGGACTATCAGGACTGATGAATCACAACAGGATTCGTTTTTGGGAAAAGCGTGGGAAAAAAACGCGTTTGAATATTTTTCAATTTTGTGCTGGTGAAATAATATTGTATCTTGGGCAAAATGATTCAAATGATCGAGTGAAGTTGCTGGGCAGCCGCTGTGGGACCAAGGGTCATCTGACTTGTTTTTTGCCTGAGAGTCCTTGTTGAAGGGGGTAGATACACCATGTTTGAGGGTGTTGGGGAAGGCGTCAAGAATAACCTTAAATCTGGCATGGAACTTAGCATCTCCACATTGTGCATCCGCAACAGCAATGGTTTCCGTAATCGGTTCGAGTCTGCGGTGGCTAGGTGTAGCCCTGGCCGAGCAACTGCAAGGGCATGTGAAAGAAGCCTTTGTCTCGCCACATGCCAACCATGTGCTTCAGCCTCTTGGTGAGGCAATTTGTGTTAGCTGTGTCTGAAAACAGGGGGATACTCATAAATGACCACTTTAAGAGGGAACTTGATGATTAAGCAGCAGACTTAGGGATTACCTGTTTTCAAACAAACTCATATGGAGATAGCTGAGATAGCTAACAATCATTGGTGTGTTTATATGCCGGAAGGTGATCTTGATTTTCTTTGAACAACTGGAGGCACACCCTGTTTGGGCTGCCAGTACGCTGCTATATATAGTCAACACGTAGTCAATATAGTCTCAATATATCTCAATTAGTCTCATTTACCATTTGGTGTCAGCAGAATCGTGATCCACTGGGATCCACGGATTGTTGACCTCTCCCCATTTTTTCCCGCAAAGCGTTTCGTCCTCGGTCCTGGTGGTTTGGGCAGTTCAATCCGAATTCTTGCTGGTTCGTTCTATCCTCATTCTTACAGGTTGAAACCCAGTTTTTGGTTTGGTTTAGGCTGTGAAAATTCAATTGTGACTCTATTTTCAGTGCTCATACATAGCATCTATACGATTCAACCGTTTTGGATATGTACTACAACCTTCAGCAATTCAACTTGGCCGTGGAAAACCCCGAGTTTTAACGGGACTTTCATCGATAAGTTACTAGAGGGAGATTTTGTTTGAAGACCAGAGGGTACTATGTATATATATATTATATTAAAATAAATTAATTTATATTATATTATATGATATTATATTATATTATGATATTATATTGAATTATATTATATTATATTATATTATGTTATATTATGTTATATTATATTATACTATATTATATTATATTATATTACATTATATTACCATGCGATTGAAAACAGCCTTTATTCTTGCTTTCTGTATCAAACAACAACTGCATTTTTCAAAAACACTTCCCAAGTAATTCGTTATTTACACTTACATTTTCATTTAAAGTCTCTTTGGTCTAGTTGCTCATCATCCTTATACTTTAAATTTACCTTTCTTCAGTCTAATCAATATTGAGTTGCTTATATCTGTATCTATCTATCTTTGCATACTATATATATATACACATACATACATACATATATGTATATATATATATATATATGTCAATGTATATCTATAACCATAGCACCATGGCTTTGGCCAGGAAATGTATCGAGCTGATTCCACCTGAGCGCCTTGGCTTTCTGCTTTCCGAGATGCGCGGCCATGCTGTGGTGGCTGCCCGGCACCGCTACGGTCTCCTGGCGAAGCGGATTTTGCTGTCTGTCCTTTTGGTGACTTGATATAGGCATATCATCATCATCGTCATCATGTACATATACACATACATATACATATACAACTGGATGGTGGTTTGGAACATTTTTTATTTCCCGTAATATATGGGATAATCCTTCCCATTGACTAATATTTTTCAAGATGGTTAAAACCACCAGCCAGACAATCATATACATACTGTATACATTTGCATGCATACATATAGACACGCACACACATATATACATACATGTATTCCGTTGCGTACCGCGACCTACCGCTACGTACCGCTACGTTACGTTACCATACGTTACCTACCCCAAATGCTGACAATCACCGGTGAATCCCCCATGAAAGTCCACAGAGGATGCCGAGTCCTTGAGCGGCTCTTAGAGCATTGCCCCAGCGAACAGACGGCCCCATTGATTGAGGAGGCCGGACCGGGATGGGCTGGTTTCAGCTGGTGGCGGAAGTCGCATACCCAAAAAAAGTTGGGTTAAACAAACAACAAACAGGGATTTAAAAGTTTACTTGGGGTTTCTAGAAATGGGGGATCCCCAAAACCATTGGTTTTAATAGTGACTTGGATGCACCACCATTTTGGAACACCTCCAGAGGAAGAACATCCAGCCAAGAGAGCGGATATGAAGCCGATAAATCGGGATCTAGCAGCAAACTAAGGATGGCTAAGCAACAAATGGTATCGGAAAAGTTGATACTTTTTTTAAAGTCTTTTTTCCCCGGGAGGTCTTGCTTGGCGGTCGCGGGTTCCCTTGTGCCCCCGAATTTAGATCGCTTGTGCCCCTCTGATTTGCCTCCCTCGTGCCCTCTGTCATGGTTCTCTTCCGAAACATAATTCTATCAACATCCTTCATCACAACCATAATTAATAATCGTAGCCATAATAATATAATAATAATCATCATCAAAATCATTCTAAACATGACGTAATTATGTATTTCCCTTGTGAAACCAGAAACCCTAAAGGTATCGTACCTGTGTACTTCCTTTGTGAAGCAAGGAAACCTAAAGGTGTCGTACCTGAGTACTGCCATTGTGAAGCAGAGAAACCCTAAAGGTGTCGTACCTGTGTACTTCTTGTGTGAAACAAAGAATCCCTAAAGGTTTCGTACCTGTGTACTTCTTGTGTGAAACAAAGAATCCCTAAAGGTATCGTAACTGTGTACTTCTTGTGTGAAGCAAAGAAACCGTAAAGGTGTCATACCTGTGTACTTCTTGTGTGAAACAAAGAATCCCTAAAGGTGTCGTAACTGTGTACTTCTTGTGTGAAGCAAAGAAACCCTAAAGGTTTCGTACCTGTGTACTTCTTGTGTGAAACAAAGAATCCCTAAAGGTGTCGTACCTGTGTACTACTTGTGTGAAACAAAGAAACCCTAAAGGTGTCGTACCTGTGTACTTCTTGTGTGAAACAAAGAAACCCTAAAGGTGTCGTACCTGTGTACTTCTTGTGTGAAACAAAGAATCCCTAAAGGTGTCGTAACTGTGTACTTCTTGTGTGAAGCAAAAAATCCCTAAAGGTTTCGTACCTGTGTACTTCTTGTGTGAAGCAAAGAAACCCTAAAGGTGTCGTACCTGTGCACTTCTTGTGTGAAACAAAGCAACCTTAAAGGTGTCGTACCTGTGTAATTCCTGTGTGAAGCAAAGAAACCCTAAAGGTTTCGTACCTGTGCAATTCTTGTGTGAAGCAAAGAAACCCTAAAGGTGTCGTACCTGTGTACTTCTTGTGTGAAACAAAGAAACCCTAAAGGTTTCGTACCCGTGTACTTCTTTTGTGAAGCAAAGAAGCCCTAAAGGTGTCGTACCTGAGTACTGCCATTGTGAAGCAGAGAAGCCCTAAAGGTGTCATACCTGTGTACTTTCTCTGTGAAGCAAAGAAACCCTAAAGGTGTCCTACCTGTACATTGCCATTGTGAAGCAAAGAAACCCTAAAGGTGTCGTACCTGTGTACTTCTTGTGTGAAGCAGAAAATCCCTAAAGGTTTCGTACCTGTGTACTTCTTGTGTGAAGCAAAGAAACCCTAAAGGTGTCGTACCTGTGCACTGCCATTGTGAAACAAAGAAACCCTAAAGGTTTCGTACCTGTGTACTTCTTTTGTGAAGCAAAGAAACCCTAAAGGTTTCGTACCTGTGTACTTCTTCTCTGAAACAAAGAAGCCCTAAAGGTGTCGTACCTGTGTACTTCTTGTGTGAAACAAAGAAACCCTAAAGGTTTCGTACCTGTGTACTTCTTTTGTGAAGCAAAGAAACCCTAAAGGTGTCGTACCTGTGTACTTCTTGTGTGAAACAAAGAAACCCTAAAGGTGTCGTACCTGTGTACTTCTTGTGTGAAACAAAGAATCCCTAAAGGTGTCGTAACTGTGTACTTCTTGTGTGAAGCAAAGGAACCCTAAAGGTTTGCGTACCTGTGTACTTCTTGTGTGAAACAAAGAAACCCTAAAGGTGTCGTACTTGTGTACTTCTTGTCTGAAACAAAGAATCCCTAAAGGTTTCGTACCTGTGTACTTCTTGTGTGAAGCAAAGAAACCCTAAAGGTGTCGTACCTTTGTACCTCTTGTGTGGAATAAAGAATCCCTAAAGTTGTCGTACCTGTGTACTTCTTGTGTGAAACAAAGAATCCCTAAAGGTTTCGTACCTGTGTACTTCTTGTGTGAAACAAAAAACCCTAAAGGTTTCGTGCCTGTGTACTTCTTGTGTGAAGCAAAGAATCCCTAAAGGTTTCGTACCTGTGTACTTCTTTTGTGAAGCAAAGAAACCCTAAAGGTGTCGTACCTGTGCACTGCCATTGTGAAACAAAGAAACCCTAAAGGTTTCGTACCTGTGTACTTCTTTTGTGAAGCAAAGAAACCCTAAAGGTTTCGTACCTGTGTACTTCTTCTCTGAAGCAAAGAAGCCCTAAAGGTTTCCTACCTGTGTACTTCTTGTGTGAAGCAAAGAAACCCTAAAGGTTTCGTACCTGTGTACTTCTTTTGTGAAGCAAAGAAACCCTAAAGGTGTCGTACCTGTGTACTTCTTGTGTGAAACAAAGAAACCCTAAAGGTGTCGTACCTGTGTACTTCTTGTGTGAAACAAAGAATCCCTAAAGGTGTCGTAACTGTGTACTTCTTGTGTGAAGCAAAGAAACCCTAAAGGTTTGCGTACCTGTGTACTTCTTTTGTGAAGCAAAGAAACCCTAAAGGTTTCGTACCTGTGTACTTCTTGTGTGAAGTAAAGAAACCCTAAAGGTGTCGTACCTGTGTACTTCTTGTGTGAAACAAAGAAACCCTAAAGGTGTCGTACTTGTGTACTTCTTGTCTGAAAAGAAGAATCCCTAAATGTTTCGTACCTGTGTACTTCTTGTGTGAAGCAAAGAAACCCTAAAGGTGTCGTACCTGTGTACCTCTTGTGTGGAATAAAGAATCCCTAAAGGTGTCATACCTGTGTACTTCTTGTGTGAAACAAAGAAACCCTAAAGGTGTCGTTCCTGTGTACTTACTGTGTGAAACAAAGAAACCCTAAAGGTGTCGTACCTGTGTACTTCTTGTGTGAAGCAAAGAATCCCTAAAGGTGTCGTAACTGTGTACTTCTTGTGTGAAGCAAAGAATCCCTAAAGGTGTCGTACCTGTGTACTTCTTGTGTGAAACAAAGAATCCCTAAAGGTGTCGTACCTGTGTACTTCTTGTGTGAAACAAAGAATCCCTAAAGGTTTCGTACCTGTGTACTTCTTTTGTGAAACAAAGAATCCCTAAAGGTTTCGTACCTGTGTACTTCTTTTGTGAAGCAAAGAAACCCTAAAGGTGTCGTACCTGTGTACTTCTTGTGTGAAGCAAAGAAACCCTAAAGGTTTCGTACCTGTGTACCTCTTCTGTGAAGCAAAGAAACCCTAAAGGTTTCGTACCTGTGTACTTCTTCTGTGAAGCAAAGAAGCCCTAAAGGTGTCGTACCTGTGCACTTCTTGTGTGAAACAAAGAAACCCTAAAGGTTTCGTACCTGTGTACTTCTTTTGTGAAGCAAAGAAACCCTAAAGGTGTCGTACCTGTGTACTTCTTGTGTGAAACAAAGAAACCCTAAAGGTGTCGTATCTGTGTACTTCTTGTGTGAAACAAAGAAACCCTAAAGGTGTCGTAACTGTGTACTTCTTGTGTGAAGCAAAGAAACCCTAAAGGTGTCGTACCTGTGTACTTCTTGTGTGAGACAAAGAAACCCTAAAGGTGTCGTACCTGTGTACTTCTTGTGTGAAACAAAGAATCCCTAAAGGTGTCGTACCTGTGTACTTCTTGTGTGAAACAAAAAACCCTAAAGGTGTCGTACCTGTGTACTTCTTGTGTGAAGCAAAGAAACGCTAAAGGTGTCGTAACTGTGTACTTCTTGTGTGAAGCAAAGAAACCCTAAAGGTCGTACCTGTGTACTTCTTGTGTGAAGCAAAGAAACCCTAAAGGTGTCGTACCTGTGTACTTCTTTTGTGAAGCAAAAGATCTTGAAGCTTTCGTACCTGTGTACTTCTTGTGTGAAGCAAAGAAACCCTAAAGGTTTCGTACCTGTGAACTTCTTGTGTGAAACAAAGAAGCCGTAAAGGTTTCGTACTTTTGTACTTCTTTTGTGAAGCAAAGAAACCCTAAAGGTTTCGTACCTGTGTACTTCTTGTGTGAAGCAAAGAAACCCTAAAGGTGTCGTACCTGTGTACTTCTTTTGTGAAGCAAAAGATCTTGAAGGTTTCGTACCTGTGTACTTCTTGTGTGAAGCAAAGAAACCCTAAAGGTTTCGTACCTGTGTACTTCTTGTGTGAAGCAAAGAAACCCGAAAGGTGTCGTACCTGTGTACTTCTTGTGTGAAACAAAGAAACACCTTACTTGTGTACTTCTTGTCTGAAACAAAGAAACCGTAAAGGTTTCGTACCTGTGTACTTCTTGTGTGAAGCAAAGAAACCCTAAAGGTGTCGTACCTGTGTACTTCTTGTGTGAAACAAAGAAACCCTAAAGATTTCGTACCTGTGTACTTCTTTTGTGAAGCAAAGAATCCCTAAAGGTTTCGTACCTGTGTACTTCTTGTGTGAAACAAAGAATCCCTAAAGGTTTCCTACCTGTGTACTTCTTGTGTAAAACAAAGAAACCCTAAAGGTGTCATACCCGTGTACTTCTTGTGTGAAGCAAAGAAACCCTAAAGGTTCCGTACCTGTGTACTTCTTGTGTGAAGCAAAGAAACCCTAAAGGTGTCGTACTTGTGTACTTCCTGTGTGAAACAAAGAAACCCGAAAGGTGTCGTACCTGTGTACTTCTTGTGTGAAGCAAAGAATCCCTAAAGGTTTCGTACCTGTGTACTTCTTGTGTGAAACAAAAAAACCCTAAAGGTGTCGTACCTGTGTACTTCTTGTGTGAAACAAAGAAACCCTAAAGGTGTCGTACCTGTGTACTTCTTGTGTGAAACAAAGAAACCCGAAA